GCTAAGGGTTGACTAAGCTAGCTAGAAGTCGGTTCAAGTGGGGAGTCATATGGGCTCGATCTAACAGAAGACCACCTAAAGGGTCGGTCATCAAGACTAAGAACAAACCTACAGGGTGTGGTAGCATCCCTTACGTTACTAAAGGAAGGGTGGTCTCGACCACAGTAATGTCCATAGTTTGTTCCAACAAAAGAGGTAGGGTGGTGCTCTAGATGGCAGTCACTGGTAGAGGGTCGGTATTTTAAATTAAGATCTCGCCTCATGTCTTTCCAAGTAGGGTACTCACCTCGAGACTCTTTATGATCTTCCAATCTTACCCAAAATTGGAGAGCCTGACCTTTGAGGTGAGATTTAGCGATAATAACCTGGTGGGACTCAGGGATATGTCGTGATTCAAAATAGTCCTCTAATTGTCTAACCCATTCCCTAAAGTAGTAAGGGTCCGAGGAACCATCAAAGGTGGGTAGACGGTAAGGTGACTCAAAGTGAGGTTGTTGCTGTGGCTTAGACTTAGGTCTAGGTTGATAACTAGAGTGAGGCGTCTCCCGACTAACATGACTGATCGAATGGGGCACCTTCCTAGAGTGGGGAGAGTCAACATGTTTCTCCTTTGTAGTTTTAGCTGAGAGCCTACAAGACTAACTAGGTCATCTAACTTCTTTTGAAATCTTATCGGGTCCATTGGGAAAACGCTTGGAAACACTTAGGGATGAATCTAGATAAGGGGCAACACCTAAATCGAGGCTAGACTCTCCAAATTGTAACTGGAAGGTGCACTAAAGATGTGGACAGTAAACCCCAATAGTGGATAAAATAGTCTAGGTGACTAGGAAGGGTACCGGGTCGAGGGCAGCACCTAAACGCTAAGGTTCCTAGCCTAAAAGTCCACTAAACGAGTGCAGGAGTGCTGTGGACAGCAACCTACAGCACTAGATTAATTGGTTCAAGTGATGAGGGAAATGTCTAGAGTGAAGTTAGCAACTAAACACTAAGTTGGGGTCACCTAAAGCTCTCTAAATGTTGCAGAAATTTACTGGACAGCAAATAAAACAGTGATGCAAAAGAATAATGCGATGGTATGCATGTAAATAAGCTATGGGATAGTTAAGTAGACTCCTATGATGCATCTAGCACATGTAATGCATGCTAGCCATGCTCTGATACCAAGATGGTGTAGAACAATCATGGGAAGTTGATATGCTTAAAGGACGTTTGCACGTTTAGTTTTAGAGAACAATAATAAGCAAGATCTCATGTTAGTTTGAACGATAAAATAAAATATTAAAGTGATAAATAACATTGGTTAAATTACGTGCATAGAAGTTAAGAGCATAAAAATCAATCAATTTAATCTACTTTTGTATACGTGAATGGTCTCAACAATAAATCTCTTCGTTAACATTAAGACTAGGTACTACAAGGAACCCTTCACTCAACTCTTCCTATTACTAAGCCTTAGCGGAGGGACCAACAACATCTTTGTGAATCAAAGTATAACCACGTGGGAGAAATAAACTAAGAGGCTAAAAGAGTCGGAAGTCGAGTTTACCCGAAGTATGAAGTATACGAGGCTCCGGTGGTCATAGGAAGGCTTGGAAGGAGGTAGGTGGCATCCACGAACCTTCTTGAAGGTGTGATCAGCAATCTGACGTGTCCTGAAAGCGTTTGAAGACCTTCCACTTGGCTGGACAGCAAGAAACAGGTGCAAGTTTTCTCAGGACAGCACACTCTCATACCCAGAAAAGTCTCAGGCAGTGGACGGGGACTTATCCGATCAGTTGGACAGCAAGTATACGTTCCGGATCTTTTAAACAGCAGGTTGCAGGTGCTTGATACGTGAAACAGCAACAAGGAAGATGTCTGGACGGCAAGGGGTTGAGTTTTGGGGCTGACCAGTTGGTGGGGATGTGCAGAATTTAGTGGACAGCAGTTTACCAATTCTCTGAACTTCTGGACAACAATCCCGTAGGAAGATTTCAGGCTCTCTTGTTTCGTTTGGAGAAAAGAGAGAGGTTTAAGGGCTAATTCAAATCAACTCTAATTTGAATTTCAATTGGGCGTAATTTGGGAGATTGAATGATAATTGATTGAGGCAAGAATTAAGGAGAAATTAATGAGGGGTAGGCCAACCATGAGAGAGAGGGGGAAATTTGTGTCTAAATTCGTTGTATGTGGTCCACAGCATTAATGACGATGGGGAATTAAAATCTGAAATTAATCTCAGATTTTATTTGATTGAATTGCCTTCCTAAATGGCTTGGGCTAATTGGAAAGAAATTTGAAATTCAAATCAATTCGATTTGAATTTGAATTCTTCCCAAAAATGCTATGGCCAAATATGGAAGGTATTGAATGGGGAATTTAATGTGGGGATCCAATGTGAGGAGAGGTGGTGAGGCTGGTGGTGGAGAAATTAATTTGAAATTTGAATTCAAATTAATTTTCAATTAATGCATTGGTGTGGGTTTAATGGGAGGAAAGCCACATGGTGGCCGGCGGCATGTAGAGAGAGAGGGAGGGGATTTGGGAAAGGTTTGGGGAGTTTCCAAAGAGGGATTGTGGATTAGGAAAATTATTATAACATCCAATTTGTTTGAAATTTAAATTGAAGTCATGAATAAAACTTTCCTAAATAAAAATTTCCAAAATTGGAAAGTTTTGAAATTCAAAATTTGAATTTCAAATTGACTCCAATTTTCCCTCTCAAGCCCAACTAAATTTGAAAGATAGCATGATGATTGAGATCATCATCACAACGGAAAAGGGGGCTTGGTGGGGCAGCGGCAAGAGGAAGGGAATGGGTGGGTTGATTGCTTGCCGTCGGGTTTTGATAATTTTGGTAGAGGTTGGATATGAAGTGGGGAAGCTAGGGGATGAAAAGGATATGGGAGTAAGGGGGAAAGAAGAAGATAGGGAAAAGAGAACCACGAACCCGGACGCTTCCAAGGTTGGTGGTTGCGTTGCCTTTCACCAAGGGACTTTCTCAAAGCTCTCTCCAAAAACTCTCAAACTCTCACAAGAGTAAAACGCATAAATTTTCATAATAATCTTTATTAGCCCTTCTCTAAGAAGAGGAGGGATTTAAATAGACAAATACAAGAAGGGAAAAATAAAAGACAACAATGCCCTCGGGGCTTACAAAGAACTAATCCCTTAAGCAAGGGCATAAATGGAAAAAAGACATAAAATAAATAAATACATCACATATAATTGAAATAAAAAAGACGTCATCATAGCCGTCGATCATCGGCCACGTCCCTGATGGAACATTAAGGGTCTGATGTCCGCATCAGATATGTTTATTAAGGGATATAGTAATTTCTTCTTTATTGTCTTTCTTGATTCAAGCAAGTGCCTAAATTGTCTCTTCATCGAGCAATCATAATTATTTAGAATACCTAATGCTTCAAACAAAATTAGAATGCACTATCGAAATGTCGTCGACCCAAATTATTTGAATTACATCGATGATGCTAATGAATGGTTCTAAACAAATAAAATGATGAATGATGAGGAGGAATTGGTGTATTGCAAGACATTGTGGGATAATGAAAGCTGCTACAATAGTCAAGATCGACTTAATGTAAAAGAAAATGAATACCCATCAAGGCCTAGAAAACTTGAGTGATAAAAATATATGATGAGAGGCTACTTTGTATATTATGATTAAGATGAAAAAAATAGTTTTTAAGATTTTTAGTTTGAATTTGAGGTTTGCATTTAAGATATGACTTATATTTTAAGCATAAGAATTTCATTCACAAGATTTAGGATTGTCTTTGTTTAAAAAAATATTTTCTTCTTGGTTTTGCATTTTTGTTCTAATATTATTTATTGATATAATGATGATGGCTTTATTTATCAATTTAATTACTTTCACTGATATTATGATTTCTTTTTTCAATCTGACTGTCTTTAGTTAACCTATATACATGTTATTGTTAAACTATACAACCTTCGAGTTATTTTACGTTGTGTTTTTTAAGAGAATACTTCTATGATATTGAAGTCTAAATCTAGTATAAATCACAAATGTCTTTCATTTGTTTTTTCTAACATCCTTGATAGATCTTAAACTTGTTGGGTATGACAACATTCTTCAGCATCTCAAATGAGATCACTTTTGAAATTAAACTAAATTTCAACTACCTAGGAAAATAAACTAAACAAAATCATAACAAAAAACAATAAGTTAGAATAACAAGAAAACCTAGGGATCCTCCTTATCCAGTGTCTAATAGAAATTATATTAGCAAAGAATCATTGACTTACCAAAAAAGGGATCTGCACGCACGCACTTATAAAATAAAACCTAACCAACCAAACTTCCAATCACAACCAATACCACATCAATTAGAAAATCAGGTTTGGAAACGCCTTTCATGACCTAGAGTACTGACATTTGATGGATTAGTTACTTGCTCTAAAACAAAAATGAAGCAAATGTAAACAAACAATCAGCAAAGCACAAACCAATGCCCATTTCACAGATATGTCAGTCCATCCTTAAAATTATAAAGTGAACAAAATAAATTATGATCTAGGCAATGCCCACTACACAAAATAGTCTGATGTGATTCTCAGACCAAAGTACTACTGAAACAGAAATAATCTCCTACTGTTCTCTTTGTTTCAAAGAACATTTTGGTGATTCATTATGTTAAACGTTTATAAACTATATAAATAGAAGTGTACAATTCTTAAGTATGAGGTCTCAATTACAGCCTTTAAAGTTCTGGAACAAGGTGCTTTTTGCATTCTCATGAGCAGAACTTATAGCTGGTAATCCAATAAAACATGGCCTTTCCAACTTAATGCTCAAATAAGGATTGATTTTTTTTTTTTTAAAGGAATGAGTCTAATAGTAGATGCATTAAAAAATAGTGAAAAAAAAAAAAGATATGATAATTTAATATATAGCAAATAAAAAATTAACATCATTAATTCAAAAATATGATAAGAATAATTGAAATATGAGAATCATAACAAGTTAATATTACCTTTTATCTTTGCGCTTCTCAATAGGAGGTTCTATCCCAGGGATGGTTGATGTAGTCCTCAAGGATGTCCTACTAGGGGGCACTAATGGTGCAGGAGAAGGAGCAGGTGTTGGCCGACTTACTATTGATGGCCTCCCGGTTGATGTTGAACGAACTGATGGGGCATAATCTGCCACATTCCGACCTAGCTAATAAAACATGAAGAATATAACTTAGCCGAATGATTGAACTATAAGAGTTTGACTGAATAAGTAAATTTTAAGAACTATGTATCAATATATATGCCAAATTATATGTTTATACAGCAGGACAGGAGAAAAATAACTTGTATGAGAATTTTATAGACCACTCCATCAATTGGATGTTGGTTCACAGCTCGTTGTCCTTTTTATACCAAAAGAGAAAAAAAATATTACAAATTGATTAAAATACTTGTATTCTACTCAACAAAAGATTATCCAATTCATACAGTTTCAAATCACAGTCAATATGAATCTATCCATCCCTTTATTTCATAATACATAAATTAAAAAAATTTGAAGAAATCGCAACTCATTGTGTGTGAAGTTACAACTATAAGAGCATCTCCAACCGAACGCCAAACGTGCGTATGGCGTCGCTCGGTCGCTCCAACCGAACGCCAAATCTTCTGCCATTTATTTGCGGGTGAACAGTGTGACACCAATATTGGCGTTAAACTGTTCACCTACGCTATTTTGCTCTCTCAATCGGAAAAACGCGCGAAGGGAGAAGGATCGTTACCTTCGCAGAAGTACTTAAAATGCAGTTCGACTGGAGCAGCACCACAGCATTTTGGAGTTTTGTTGTATTTTGTCGTGAAAAATGGAGTTCTCCATTAGAGATGCCCTAACAAGAACAATCCTCATCCTCGCCAAAAGACTACCAAATTCATACAACTTTCACTCCCATCAAAGATGTATGGCATTTCAGCATCACCAAAAAAACCTCAGATGGTTACTCCCTTCTTTTTTTTTTTTAAGATGGTTACTCCCCTATTGATGTAACATTAAGGCAAAAATAAAGCACAGCAAATTCTCAGATAACCTTCCACAGAATTAACTGACAACTTCAATATAAGCAAATTCTTAACCATGAAATAACCAGAATGCATAGCAAATCAATCAAACACATTATTACTTCAATATGAAAATTGAAATAAACATATCGAAAAGACCTGGATCAATCAGTTCGACCTATCAAATAAATAAACACTAATAGAAATCAGATTCTAATAACAAATTGCGAACGAAATTGTTTGGAATCCCCCAAATTCCTACATGCAACATTCAAAATAATACATCCAAACATGAAATGTTTAAATAACGCTGACCAAATAAATCGCATATTCTTCAGCTATACACTTATCTGATGGCAATCAACTCGGCCAAAATTAAGAGATTCAACAATTCTAAACATAAGAAAATAAAGCGCCCCAGTTCAATCAGTAATACGTAAATGAAACTAAAAAACAAGCCAACCATGTAAAAATAGCCCTACTCGCAAGATCCAAACTTACTGCAGGAGAAGGCGATCTGGTGGGTCTCCCTAAAATCCCCACCCCATTACCAGCGGTTGCGCCACCGTTGCTGCTGGAGAGGGTCCTCGGTGAGCCATAGCGGAAACTATCCGACGTAGCCGGTAGATCTCCTTCATCCTCCTCTTCATCGTCCTCACCGGAGGCCTGCGAAGCCATCACCCGAGCGAGGCGAGCATTGGCGGCCTTGGCGGCGAGGTTCTGCGTCCTCCGTATGTTGGATAATCCTGATGTCGACGCCGAGCGGTGGTGCGCAGGCGACATACCTGGGGAGGACGAGCCCGTGCTGCTCGAGCCGCCGCTGTGCTGCCGCGTGTACACCGGGCTTCTGGTTCTCCAGCGGTCCATTCAGCGAGTATAGGCGTCGGCTCGGAGTAGAAATTTGGATCGCGGTGCGAGGACTTTACCGCGCCGGCGGCGGACGAATCGGGCGGAAAACGGCGTGAAAGGGTAGAAGACGGTAGCAGTATCGGATCTCATTCGCCGCGATCTCGGTGATAGTGGGAGGGTGGCAACGGGGCATGCACACCTAATGGGACCAGATCCGCTGCTTCGTGCAAAACAGCCTACGGCGTAACAAATAATAAATTACTCTGATTTAAGATATGTTTGCCACAACTGCTACGTTTCATAAAGCTATTTGTGAAGTTAATATTGCAAAATAATAATAATTATTATTATTATGACGAGGAACCGTCGGCCGTCACACTCAACTTCGTCGAGTGCGCTTGACGGCTTGGGGGTCCGTAAACCCCGGCCGACCTAATGGGCCACCCAAGCCACAAACCCATAACCGGTGCTTTGGAGCTCCCACTTAAGGGCCGGCTGATGCTCGAGGGAATCGAGCTCAGGATAGGGGGTTCCCAACCGAGCACGCCCACCAAACGAGCTAAGCATCGGTGGGTAAAATTAGTTATTTTTATTTTAAAAAGTAAATTTTCATAACTACATCACGTAGTTCTCTAATAGTGAGCTAAAAAAGGATTAATGGAAGTTGAATATTTCATTAAAAATAAGTGAAGACTTTTCAATATGTTATTGCTTTTATTTATGGATTGATATATAAATTTATTCATTTTATGGTACACACCAAAAGAAAAATGTGTGGGTCCTCAAAATGAAAACAATTCAACATTGGATCACAATATCTTAGTCAATATATGATATGATTAAAATTTATAATTGTTGTGTTCTGAAATATTCGTAGCGGTAGTGAAATATAAAGTTTAGCGTCCTTATTTCGTACAAAAATATTTCACATAAACAGATAAATGAATTTGGTGTATCGTGTTTAAGAGACACCATAATTTTTATGTATAAAACCCCCCAAAAGAGAGAAAAATCATGATGTCTTGCCCAGTTGAACTGATTCCACTATTATTGATGGTTAGTTATAAATAAGGGCCTTCCTCAGAGGAGGGTGCTTGCTCAATTTAGCTAATACACATTATATAAAAGCACATTACGTAGTTGGAGAATAACATGACATCTGTTTTTAAGAGAGTGTGGGTTTGTTTATTTGGTATGTAGATTCATATGGATGCAGTCAAATATGATGGTGATTAGATGGACCGTAATTAAACATCAGTCACATTGAGTGACTTAGTCGGCGGGTAACGTAGATTGAAAGAACCATAGTCAGGTGATAGAAGTTGAAGACACCGTAGTCATCGGACAACTGTAATCGAAAGAAGATCCTTCCAAGAGGAGTTTCAACGGTAGTCGGAGAGCAGTCAGGAAAAACTCTGACGATGGTAATGCAAGATGGATAGTGCAAGAGAGCTCTCAAGTTTTCTTCTCTCTTCTTCCTCCCTTTCATGTGAATTTTTTTTTTTTCTCAAGGAAGGGGGGAGGAGGATTTGGAGAAGATTTAGGACAAGTTTGGAGTGTTTTATCGGACAGTTCATAGTGATTATCTTAATCATTGAGTGTTTATTAAGCATTTAAATGCATTTGAGAAGTCAGAATCCAGTGATCATGGGCTCGTTGGATTTGTCTCGTAGAGCTCTTGATTCGACTATAAGCATGTCATATATGAATATCATTTGTCATCAAATTAATGCTTTGAAGCTTTCAAATACGCCTTGGTCATTTGATTTGGGCCCATTTGGGCTAGGATTGGACCAAATTTAGTATCGATGGGTTCGTTTCCTTAAGATGTTCAATTTGACTATAAGTTCGTTGAAATCGGAGTGGATGTTCTAAAAAATAATTTGGAAGTTCTCAATTCAAGTTTGCATCGAGAATCATGAATTTTTCAGACATATCAATAATCACTAGATTTCATGCATAGCATGTGTGATTTAAAATTGTAATTTTTTAGTGATATATTGCATTCATTTCAAAATTAGATATTAAGATTGTAAAGTTCATTTTTACTTCATTTTTTCCTTTGAGAATAGAATAAATGAATAACAAAAAATGAGATTTACATACATACTACTTTATACTATTTTATTTATATATTTAACACATAAAATTTTAATATTACATACATACCACCCATAGTTCATTTTCATATCAAATATGAGTGGTAGAAATGAAATATATGAGTGGTAGGAAAGAAATATGAGTGGTATTTTTTATATTAAAATAATATAGGGTGGTATGTATGTAATATTAAAATTTTGGGTGTTAGATATGTAAATAAGATTGTATAAAGAGGTATGTATGTAAAATTAAAACACTCAACATGAGCTAAAAATAAAATTTCGTTGGAAGCACAAATTATATTTTTTCAATTATTCCTTTAACTTTTTTCATTAATACATGAGATCAATTATGGCAGTTTTAAACTTTTTTTTATTTAAATGTTTTATTTTAAAATGATAAAATAAAATATGATAAAAATTATAATTTATAGCACATATACTTAATATTTCAAAAAAAAAAATGAATTATTATTTTATTATTAATACAAATAAATAATTTTTTATCAATATAAGTAATTAAAATATCATTCATCCATAGATCTCCATTTTTCTTTCATAGCTTATTTTTATAATAATCAATTAGTCATAGTAGAAAAAGCTATTTCAACTTTTATTACATTTATATTAAAAATAAATTCTAAAAATTTTAATTTATCCTATTAAAATTTTAATTATTATATCCTAATCCAAATTTTTTTCAATCCAAAATCAAAGCTATAAGGAGATGAATAAAAGAATAAAGATAACTAATTGTGCTTATATTTTTTATTAAAAAAATAAACAATAACGATTTAAAAATAAAAAATAAAAAAAATAAAGTTGATATATCATCAAAAACTTAACGTAATCGGGCACGAATCTCGAGGCAAAATTCAAGTTGGAAAATTAAAAAATTAAATCTGGAATCATCTGAACTCCGATTTCAATAAACTTATAGTCAAACTGAGCACCTCGGAAATACGAACCCAATGACACAAAATTCAACTCAATCTGAGCCCAAATGAGTCTGAATCAAGGACCTGAATCGCTATTAGAATGTGCGAACCACAATTTGGATTATCAAACGGTTTCTAAACATGACATGCTTATAGTATAATCGAGCGGCTCGACGAGATGAATCCAATGAGCTCAAGATCACCAAGTTCTGATATCATTAAGACCTTCAAATGTATGATGAACAGTAAATAATAAAGGGTTTCAATATCGACCGTCCATCCAACCACTCCCCTTAGTCCCTGATCTCTCCCCTATTTGCGGGTCATGTCACTCCATAAATCTATAAATAGACCTCTCATTTCTCTTGAGAGGGCCCAAGCAAGAAGAAGAAGAGTAAGTTAGAAGAGGAGAAAAGAATAATAGGAGGGAAGAAACTCATCCTCGACCACCGCCGGAATTCCACCCGACATCCAAGTGATGCCAGAGTTTCACTCGAACTCCAAGTGATGCTGGAATTCCGCCCGATCCTCCAAGTGACGCCGGAATTCCGCTCGACCTCCAAGTGTTGCCGGAATTCCGCCCGACTTCTAAGTGACGTCGGAATTCTACCTGACCTCTAAGTGACGCCGGAGTTTCACCCGAACTCTAAGTGACACTTGAGTTCTGCCCAAATTCCATCTAACATAGAAGTTCTCCTCGGCCGCCAACTGACGTCGGACTTCTATCAAACACCGGACCTCTGCTCGTCGCCAAGTTTCTATCCGACGCCGGACTTCTGCGTGTTGTCGGACTTTCGTCGGACATCTATCCAATGTTGTATTTCTGTCTATTGCTAGATTTTTACCTGATGCCATCCTTCTGACCTTCGTTGTCAGACAACGGTCCTTCTAACTTACGTTGTCAACCAACTACAGTCCTTTTGACCTCCGTCACCCGCTGACTACGGTCCTTCTAACTTACGTCACCCACCGACTATAGTCCTTCTGACCTCTGTCTCCCACAGACTACGGTCCTTCCGACTTACGTCACCCACCGACTATAGTCCTTCAGACTTACGTCGCCCACCAACTATAGTCCTTCAGACCAAACAAACACATCGACAGTGACTCTTTGTATTTTCATCATGTATTTCATATAAAATATACATCAAGCTAAGGCCTTCCCCCTAAGGAAGGGCCACATTTGTAATTGACTGCAAATAATAGTGGATTCATTCAAACTGGGCTAGGCCCCGTGGTTTTTCTCCCTTTTTCAGGGGTTTTCCACGTAAAAATCTTGGTGTCTTTAGTGAATGACACATCATCTCTTTTTATATGTGTGTGTGCTGGTTCTTCGTACAATGCTAAGACATTAAACTTTATATTTCTCTACCGCCGCAAATATTCGAGGACGCAACAAAAGTATATGTAAATATAAAGATTGTGATATTAAATATATAAATATATAAGAAATTTGGGTTATTGTTTTATCAAATTATGAAATTTTGAAGTCTTAGAAGAATTTCTATTTTTCACTTTGTTCACAAAGTTGGGGAAGTAATTTCAAATTATAATTATTTTTATTATGCACTCATATAAATATTAAATTATAGATTATATGCTATCTTATTTTTAAGCTAATTAAAATTATGATCAAATTAAATATTAATTATTATTTAGATTTTAATGTATCTCATTAAATAAATCTTCATTGGAATGTAAGTAAAGACTTACGTTTCTTTTGAGACAGTTTTTTTAATACTTTGCTTTTCGAAAGACAATCATTATTTTTATTTGGTCATTATTTTTTCGCAGATATCAAAAAAAATTGTGCTAAGGAGCAATTTCCTACAACAACTTTCTAAAAAACTGCTAAGATTTCTCTTTTTTTAATGATTCCTTTATTTTCTTAGGGAGGGGATGATAGTGAACATTGTAATGTAATTATTAGCAAGATTAGTCTTAATTATTATTAAGATGGTGAATATTTTAATTAGTCTCACTCTTTTCTTTTGGACTTTAGCAAATTGAATTGTAATAAGTTATTTGTTAGTGCATTTGACAGTGAGAGCCAAGATTCACAATTATAAAGCCACATAACACCAAACTATACTTGCAAAGCACGAATTTTATTGCAAATGTTAGATGTTATCTATTAGAGTCTGTTTGAGAT